AAAAAATCCAGCATTCTGATTGGCAATTAAACAAATGGATGTTTATTCATGACAAACCATGGTCACATTGAATGAAGTGCAAATTTCCTCTTGTTCTTTTTTTAAATTTTGGAAGTCTATGATCAACTTGTAGTCTCACTTGACATATATTCCCTTTCAAACATTACCTGAACAATGTTAAATTGGGCAATTCAAGTGGTTCAGTGAGACTGCAGTGTATATTCAAAAACATTTCAACTTTTTGTCAATACCTCACAACTTTGAGTTTGTGRAAATCCCTGAAATGGAGATTTTGTGACTCCAAAGCTTCCCTCTTCAGTATGACTTTCTTTTGAAAAACCTTTTGGTGACAGCGCCTTGATTTCAGGACTGGTTGGTAAAATATGACCGTCACCAATATATTGACCATTGCTATTAAAGCTTGAAGTTGGTTTATGGTTGGGATTTGGAGGAAGAGGACCATTGTAAACAATCTAAATAAAGTCATGGTGAACTATTAATACCAACTGGGATATTGTCAGCATRCATAACATGAACTATATACTGTATAAAGCTCACATAGTAACGTCAGTTAGCAAGTAGTGTTTAAAAAACGAGTCATTGATAAAGCACAACTGCAAGTTTTTTATGCTACTTCTAGAACTCCAACATCCAGAAATTGTTATCATTTTAGAAAAAATGCAAAAAAAGTGAGTATGCATATTAAACTTCTACTGAGCATGTGCATTTGCCACAATAGTCCCCTTCACGGTTACTCGTGCCATCTTGAAAGGTGACCGTGCCTTTGCATCGAAGCAAGAGCGTTGAGCGTGCAATGGTAGAAACCTTCTTTCACACCTACAGACAATTATTCACAGGTTTCTATCATTGCACACTCAACGGTTGTCTCGATTCGATGTAAAGGCATGGCTACCTTTCAAGATGACGCACGCAACCGTGAAGTGGACTATTGAAAGAATTTTGATCCCACGCGTAAGAACGGCTAGTCTACGCTATACTGCATGTCTGCACATGATTTAAACTGATTTAAACTGATTTAAAACCTAGCAAATTAAGGTCTATGATCTGACATTAAAACTGAGYGATTTGTGCATGATCTGGGCATTGCATTTATCTCAGAACTAAAATACTTGCGTTTTTATTAACAAAATAAATTGTTGTTACACAATAAGTCTACAAATATTCTCACAATATTCCTGAGTCAGTAAGAAATAATTGAAGGATGAAAATTTCAGAGGAATGCCAAAATTGGATAAGCCCATCCTATTACCTATTAAATTCTAATCCACATATTATTCATAACAGTCCAATTAAAAAAAGAAATTCAACAGCTACCTATTTAGTATTAGTARGTGGATATATAATTAAGCATGAAATAATGTCATACTTGCCTCTCCAATCAAGGAGGTCCTCTTTGATTCAATAAGTCTTAGAGATTTAGCCAGTGGAAAAGCTGCCTCAGGTTCAATAAAGGATCCRCGCATGAATACCACATTGGGTTCATTAACTGTCATGCCATGAAACCTACAGAACATGGCTGCCTGAGATTGAAAGAAACTATTAATGAACTCAATGGAAAATTATTCATTTTAATTGCAGAAGAGATACCTCKTCATCATCTTCAAATGCCAACATTTGGGCAAGTTCACTCAAAGGATAGGACATCTCTTTATTTGGAACGCTTAAAGAGTAATTCAAGATCCTTATGGCTTGTTGGCGTACCTATGAATAATATGTTATACCTTTTAAAAAGTGTTTACCAAATGCAAGATTTACTTGACTAGCATTGACGACTTCATAATGGCCGACACTAATTAGCATAC